TTTGTATGTGAAAATCTGATGTTTGGAGGCCTTCCCTTTTTTCTGATCAAGGGTTGAAGGCTGATTCAATGACAGAGAGAGCTTCTTGAGAAATGTTGACTCACTCCACTTCTCTCACTAGTCAACACACTTGGTAGGTTTTGTGTGCTGTTTCAAAAACCTGAAAACCCTGTTTGACTGATGTCCACAAGGTGTGGCGAAGGATGCTGCTCTGTTGCTGATGATGATAATAATATTCTTAGAACTGCAGAGACGGAAGGGAACCTATGGCTCAAGGCTAGTTAAGAAGGCCCAGTGGGGAATTGAACTCCCAACCTCTAGTTCCATAGTCAGATGCCCAAACTATTGAGCTATCTAGCAGTTCAAGAAGAACATTGCCCTTTAGAACTGCAGAGGTGGAAGAGACTCTATGGATCATTGAGTCCAGCCCCTCTCAAGGAGGCACAGTGGGGAATTGAATTCCTAACCTCTGGCTCCACAGCCAGCTACCCAAACCACTGAGCTATTATAGCCATTATAGCCAGCAGGGTCAAACAATACTCAACCTTGGATTATACACTTATTTATTAACACTTCGCATAAAATATGTCAATAAACCCTGTTCAAAACTTTTACAAGAAAATCCTCTGAAATGGACAAAAACCATAAAAATTGTGAACAAATAGGAACCCTATTTAGGATGGTGTGGCGGACAGCCCACATGTCACTCCTGTCAGTCATTGTAAAGCTCTAGTGCAGGAGCCTATGACAGGACAGGAGGGGCAGAGGCAACAGCTAGTGTGTGCTCTCTCTCTCTCTCTCTCTCTCTCTCACACACACACACACACACACACACACACACACACACATAAACAGAGAGAGAGAGAGAGAGAGAGAGAGATTTTCTGCCTCTATCTCCATCCAACAGAATTCTCAGCCTCTTATTTGGCAATGCTCTAAATTAGCAATTCACCGTTCTGAGTGAATAATGACCCGGGTGACTGGGAGTTGGGGTCAACTGGAGTAGATCCCTCTATCTTCATCCAACAGAATTCCCTGCCTCTTATTTGGCAATGCTGTAAATTAGCAATTCACCATTCCGAGTGAATAATGACCTGGGTGACTGGGAGTTGGGGTCAACTGGAGTAGATCGAAACCCATAGATTTGGACAAGATCCCAACTTCTACGTGTTTCCTGCTTTCAGGTCCCCGTCTGGGAGGAGATGATCACAAGCATGTTGAATAGATAGGAAAGTTGGGTTTCCAGCAAAGGGGAAGTGTGTACTTTGGCCTCTCTGCGGAAGGCTGAAAGCCAACGTCCCATCTGTGTTGATTAGCGGCTGTTACTTAAACCTGATGCTCTCCCTTGTGGTGGGTGGGATGGAGGTGAGAGGGTGAAGGCCACTTTTTAGAGGAGACTCAAAGAGTTTGACTGGTGATCCCTTCTGAGGTTTTCTCTGATGGTTTTCTGCGGGTGCCAGAGTAATTAACTGTGATGATGAGATCTGTATTGTGACTATTCCAACATCAAGATGAAGTTGGCATAATCTCTGTGTTTTTTTCTGCCCCAGATTCTAATCCAGCAAAGGAGCTGGCTAGACAAATGTCAGGGTGGTGTCACATGTTAGCATGCAGGAAAGTGAACTATAGCTGCATTATTGTCTCCCCCATTTGTTTTTTTTCTAATAAAATTAAATCCTGCAGTTCTTTTTGTCTTCAACATGGAGAATTTGGCAAGTTGCAGGCCAATGCTTCAGAAAGGACGCAAAACGAAAATGTTCTTGGTTTGCAAAAAGCAGAAAGTTTTGCTTTGTAAGCTTTAAAAAGATCTCCTTTGTGTGTGATATTTAAAGACTCACATGCTTCATGAGATCCTGAGCTTTTGGGGCTTTTGAAGTATCTGGAAGAGTTGGAATGTTTGTAGACATTCTATAACATTTCAGCCAATGGCTATGTACACCAGAGGACTGGAAACAAAGGGTGCTGTTTTGAATTCATTTGATATTTCGGCATACATGGTCAGAGTCCCTTTTTTTCCCTTACAAATCTACATGTATTGCTGTTTTCCTTCCTCATCCAACTTGCTGGAACCATGTAAGTGGCCTAAATCACTATGCAATGTTCTTTTCTTCAGCTGGTGAAAATTACAATACACAGGCTTAAGTGCTGTGGTCTCAACAACTCCAGTGCTACAGCACATCATTAAATACTTCAGTTATAGACAGTACTCTTTCATCATCATTGAGGGGCATAGCCTTGATCATTCAGTGGAGAGAGTAGGGAAAGCTGCCTGGTACATGGGAACAGGGTCTGTCCACAGTGGCATAGAGTTATGGTCTCTGGTTCCCTGATAGCCCTGTTTGGCACAGAAAAAAAGACCTTGTCCACTAGTGTTTATACTTAAAATGATCTATCCTTCCCTTTAAGAGCTGGCCCGCATCTTTCTGGCACAGGGCTAGGGCATGCAATCATTTTGGCATGATTCAGTGAAATGCAAAATAGCTCTTTGTTCTGCTTTTTTGGATGTGTGGGTGGGTGCACGTTCTGTACCGTCAAGTTGGAACCGACTTAGAGCAATTCTAATAGAACTTTCAAGATAAGTGAGATATTTGCATTGTACAGACCTCCAGCTGCTTGTCCCATCTGCCATGGCATTGTCCATGGGTTTCGGGGAAAGGATGTCTTCCCTCCCCAGTCCACTGCATGAGGATCAACACCCTGTGTCAGGATTCCTGGCATGAACCAATCCTCGAATTCTCCCCAAGCCAACTTCTAAAGAGCACTTCCCTGGGGTGACCCACTTTCAGAATCGAGAACTCGGATGTCCCAGATCCAACCTTCACCAAACGTGGAGGGGGATAGTCAGCTGAAGGCTCATTGTAATTCTGGTATCTCTAGGTGGCTCAAAGGCTATTTTGTGGCTCCCCAAACTCCTGAACCAAATGAACGACAAATTGGTTCATTTTCCCCCCGAACATTCATTAAAGTTCATGGGTTTGTGGTTCGTGACCTACAGTGAACCACGAACCACCACGAACTATTACCATTTTTTCTATTTCGTGCTGATCTCTCGGCTGTAAGTAAGTAAGTAAGTAAGTAAGTAAGTAAGTAAGTAAGTAAGTAAGTAAGTAAGTAAGTAAGTAAGTTAAGTAGACAAATAGAATTTGGCCTGTGGAAGCTTATGCAATGATAGATGTGTTAGTTTTTAAGGTGTCACAAGAATTGTTGTTGTTGTTCCAGTTTCCCAGATTTCTCCTCCTTTTTCTCCTCCTCCTAAGTGGTTTGCAGGGCTTCTAGGTAACAACAGCCATGTCTGATGTGTCTGAGGTCTGACCCTCCTGGAAAGAAGGCAGCGCCCACCTTCCTTCTCTCTCTCTCTCTCCCCCCCCAGAACAAAGGTGTTTGGAACACTCGGGCGCTTTTGGCACTTGTTCCTGGGGACCCAGACAGCTAATCTGATGATGTGACCTAAATGGAAAACTATTCGCTTCCTTGGGCCCCGGACTTTCTCCACTTTATGGATAGCAGCTCCAGCCCACAGCTAATGTTCCTTTGTGGTGAAATCCGGTTTATTGGGTAAAAATGACGACAATGTGTTGCACATTAAACAGGCCCTTTCACTGCCACTTGGCTTCTTGTTTTGATCAAGCACACATGGCCCTCCAGAGTTGATGTCTTTCAGCAGGACTTTTCAGTCGTCAGGCACGCAGGGCTTTAAATAAGGATTACTTGATCCCTAACGGATAGTTTCAGAGGAATTGGTAGGTGGCCACTGCTGTCCTGACGCATCCTGACTTCCAGGTAGGTTATCAGTTTTAACGGATGACATGAAGCCAGGACAAAGTCAGTAGAACTGGTTTCATTTCCTGACCAGTATGTTAGCTGCACCCTACGCCTGTGTTTCCGTTCCATCCAATCATAGCACAAAGCACACTAAAAGCAAGAGGCTTAGGTGAGGAAAATCGTGTGCTGTGACAAGCAGATAAGTTTCAGGAGGAGCACCTCTGCAGCAAACGTATTAAACCTATCCTCTAGTTTGGCTCAAAGTGGTGAAAAAAAGCCATGTGTGCTCTCACAGGGTTACAGAAGGAAAGGCAGGAGACAGACAAACAAATAAAGGAACTAAACTGAGACTTTGCAGAAAGGGTGGGCTTTTAGGAGAGATCAGAAAGGGAGATATTGAGAGTGGGAACTGGCTGCCTCATGTAAGCTCTTCTCCTTACAAATAGCAGTGCCTTTACATCTATTTTGTTTTAACTGTCTAAATTGCAGGTATGGAGGAAAGAGATTGATGATCAGGACTGTAACAAGAAATGAGTGTGTAACCCCCCTTTCCCCCCCATGCCATGGCCCCAACAAAGTTCCTCTCTCCCAGATGTCTCTAGTATTGCCCCAATAATAAAAGATTCTACTGAAGTATAAATCCCAATCTGTGGTATCAGATTGCTTTAATGCTATAGCATAGATAGACTTGGAATTTTCTTTTAACTTCAAGCAGAAGGGCAACAATTAGCTGCTAGTAAATCATCTAGAATTACCTAAGCCATTTGATAGAGGATTGTGAATTTGGTTTTAAGAGATATGTGGGGGAGGGGGGGCATCCAGTCGTTATTCCTAACTAGACGAGACTCATTAATTGAATGCTGACACTAATGCTAGCTCCAATGAATCAGCGGGCATGTTCTGGAATGTTAAATCAACATTAATGTAAGTCCCATTGAATTAATGGATGTAATCTGGAATGTTAAGTCAATCCTAATGTAAGTCTTGTTGATTCTATGAATATCCTAGTTCGGGCTGACACTTGGTTTTCCCCCCCACCAGAATGCAGATGTGAGCAAGCATGGCTGCATCAAACATGAATTTCGTTGAAAGCCAGGTTATTTTAAGAGGCAATTTGTATCAGATTGTATTTTAACATGTTTTCGCCTCCCACAAAATATTCTTTGCTGACGTTGCTGTTTCCCTCGAGAGAGAAACTAACATGCCCCCCCTTCTTCCCGTTTCTGTTGCTTTTCCAGCTTTAAAGATGAAAATAAAAGAGGTGAAGAAAGAGAACGGAGACAAGAAGATCATGCCGAAGAAGAAGAAGCCGCTGAAGTTGGGCACCATCAAGAAGAAAGATCTCAAGAAGCTGGTGCTGTACCTGAAGAACGGAGCAGACTGCCCCTGCCACCAGCTCGACAACCTCAACAACCAGTTTCTCATCATGGGGCGCAAGGTGAAAAACCAGTACCTTCTGACCGCCATCCACAAATGGGATAAGAAGAACAAAGAGTTCAAGAAGTTCATGAAGAAAATGAAAAGCCCCGAGTGCCCCACATTCCACTCGGTCTTCAAATAATCCTCCAGTGCTAGATTTGGGACCTCTTGTTTTTTATTATTATTATTTGGTTGGTTTTGTTTATTTTTTTTTTAATTTGGCTGGCCCTGAACTTGCACAGACGTTGGACTTTGTGATTCGCATACATTTTGGCCTCTCCTGCCAGAGTGGATGCTGTACCGACCCTTGATACTCTGCGGTTCCTTTCTCTTTGTGCTCCTCTTAGAGCTTCCTGTTTCTTGCTCTGTCTCCTCTCAGCCCCCTGTTATATCCCCACTAGGAAGTGTTCAGAAGATATGTAGGTAGTTTTTTTTTGGGGGGGGGGTTTACAGGCACAACAATATCTGAGGCCATACTGGATGCAAATATTTGCAGTAGATCCGTGTTGACTGCTCTTGGGGTTGCAGGTACAGTGGTGCCTCACTTGACGAGGATAATCCGTTCCAGCGAAATCGCTGTAGAGCGAAATCCTCGTCAAGCGGAAAAAAAGCCCATTGAAACGCATTGAAAACCGTTCAGTGCGTTCCAATGGGTGAAATACCTGCTCGTCCAGTGAAAATCCTCCATAGGCTGGCCATTTTCGGGTGCCTTTTCAGTGAAAAATGGCTCCTAAAAACAGCGGGGAGCCATTTTGAGCAGCCGGTGGTCATTTTGAAAACCTGACGACAGCTGTTTTGATCGTCGTAATGCGGAGAATCGGTTCCTGAAGCAGGGAACCAATTGTCGGGAAGTGAAAAAAGCCCATTAAAACATCATTTTGCAATCGCAATTGTGATCGCAAAAAGCATCGTCGTGAAATGGATTTGTCATCAAGCAGGGTAATCGTTAAGCGGGGCACCACTGTAGAAGGTTAGAGTGTCAAGGGTGTAGACACCTTTTCTGGAAAAGCAATACCCCTTTGTAAAGAATCACCTTTTCCCTACCTGGTCCTGTTGATTCTCCTGATTGCCCTTCCTTGAGTAACAATTTCCCGTGCCCAGGGCTACCTTATCTTGCTTCCTTCATTGGTCGCAGGGATGATCAAAACCAGTCAGGGATTCTGCAGAGGACGGGTTGAGGTCGCAGCTCTACATTGCCAATCAGATTTGGCTGAGCGATGGTATCCCCGGGGAGGAAAAACACACACGACTAAGTCAAAATGTTTTTGCTTCGTTTGCAGATTTGCTGAATTGGAAAGGATTTGTTTGTTTTGGTTACTGCAGAAAATGTTTCCAACAAACTGTTGTGTAGTTTCGATTTAGCTCTGCTCTGGGATTTCTGAAGGTGCAATCCATTTACGATTGGAAAAACCGTAAGAGCATTCATGCATACCTAGCAGCATCAGTTGCCTTTTATCACAAATTTAATTTTTCCTCCTGGAAAATCTGCCCACAGGTTTAGGGGCCCTTGAAGCAACTCAAAAGTGGTGCAAGAGCATCATTGTACATAGCTCCTTCATATCTTAAGAAGGCTTATGCTGAAGAATGTCTTAGGGACTGTGCTTCCTGGTTTTTCATGCGAAGCAAGGTGCTATTCCGATCTTCTGCCTTGGTCAGCAAAAATTCTGCAGCCATAATATGAAGATACTGAATTTCTGCAGATACACCTATGCTGTTCTGCAATTTGGTTTAAATCAAACCCACCCTGCTTGCAATATGGGCCATCTGGTGCAGAATAATAATATTATAACAACATGATTCAAGAATGACCATTGTCTGTATTCTCAGGGGTGGGGTTCTGTTCTCCTGATAGTACTGATGCTGGTGCTTTAAAGGAAATGCATTCCTCATGCCAAAGGAACCCCATTCTGCATCATCACGGTCTATTGTTCTCACATCCCATAAAGAAAATTGTAACACTTGAATATCCAATTCTTTTCCTTGTGGATGCAGCTTTTTAAAACAAAACAAAACCTTGGATGATATTTTGATATTGGTAAGGGGTCTAGAAAAAACATGGCTAGATTTGACCCACGTTGGCCAATCCTGTTGTAGTCAATTTCTTGTAAACTGTAATATAGTGAAGAATCACTTTTGACACTGCCAACTTATTTTTTCTAATGCTCGGTCACTGCTTTGTTTCTATCCCTTTCCCAGAAGGTAAAACACCGTTATTTGTTTTGAATACATATTTTTTTGTAAAATATTATTCTTTTTTAGGGAAAACTTCCTTGAATTTTGTTCTTGATACCTTTTCCAATTTCCAAGCATACAGGTTTATATATATATATTTGGTTCTGGGGTGGTTGTGGTCTCTGCCTCCCCCTTTTTTCCCCCTTTTCATTTATATTGTTGGTCAATGTGAGACTGTGGACAGCAACACTTCCGACACATGTTTGTGTCCTTACAGAGACAGGCTTGTCTTCGTTTTTCTGTTAATATTGTTTTTCCTAACAGCACTTCGGAGGGAAAAAAAGAAAATTGCATTTAACAATATCCAGGATTTTTTCCCCCTTAAAGGCAGGCCATATATCTTTTTGCATTACGTTGTAAAGTCACACTATAGAGACCGGTGGTCTCAAACTCTGAACCACCATGATGGCGTCACGATTCTCTGCAGAAGAAGGCCCCTAACGCAAAACATAGGCTTCTCTTTCCGATTTCATTTTAAAACATTACCAGTCCAAACGGAGCGGTAGGATGGATGTGAAGGTCCGGACTGCAACTCCCGTCAGCCTTAACCAGCAGAGGCAATGGCGGGGGATGATGGGAACTGAAGTCCAACATCCTACCAAGATGCCAACAAGAAGCAAACAAGAAGCATCTTCTTGTCTTAAGTTTTGATGGCGGGACTCATCACAGTACCTTATTGCACTACATTGCCTGCAGTTCAGTGCCTTCCCTCTTGCTACACTCAGATTTGTGCAACCTAGACTTCCAAATTAACTGGAGGAACACAATATGTTCTCGGCTGGAAGATTGTATTTCCATATTATATTTTTGTTGTGGATTAAAAGGAACAAATAAGGGGGCGTCTCGTTCCTCTGAATGGAAAACAAAGAACAGATTCGTGTTATGTTTTGCTTTTTTTACGCTTGGCTTTCTTTGCCAGCAACAGTTCTGAGAAATGGAAAAAGCAAACGTTGTTGAGGAACACGACCACTTCCCCCGCGCCGCCCCAATGCACTCCTTCTGATGCCTTTGGAGCAGGAGGCGATGCTGATATGGCCTCGGCAAGGTGAGAGAGAGCCCAGCCAGCATTTAGGTTAGACCGTGGCGGTTGGCTGAGTTTGTGAGTACATAGATCTAGTTTAGTCTCTGGGAAATATTGGGCAGTAGAGAGGGATCTCTCTCTCTCTCTCTGTGTGGTGGGGGCAACTTTGTCCTGGAATCTGTGTGTGTGTTTGTGGTGGGGGCAACTTTGTCCTGGAATCTGCCATGAGCCACACACACACCTTGGAGCACGGCGGTATGTCTTGATGGCTCTGAACGAACACTTTGTGGCTGAACTCGGTGGGACAGGTTGGGTGCTGAATTTCAGTAGGGTGATGGCGGGTGGTAGGGGCTAATCTGGGGTGGTCAGCTCCTACCACCATGAACAAAGAATCATAGAATAATGGAGTGGGAAGGGACCTATAAGGCCATCAAGTCTAACCCCTTGCTCAAGGCAGGAATTCAACTCAAAGCAAATCTGACAGAGGGTTTGTCTAACCTTCTCTTAACTGCCCCCAGCGTTGGAGTGCTCATCACCTCCTGAGGGCATGGGGTTCCATTGTCACACTGCTCTAACAGTTAAGATGTTTTGCCTCAATGCCCCCAGCGTTGGAGAGCTCATCATCTCCTGAGGTCATGGGGTTGCATTGTCACACTGCTCTAACAGTTGCATGGGGTTCCATTGTCACACTGCTCTAACAGTTAAGATGTTTTGCCTCATATTCAGCCTAAATTTGGCTTCCTGTAGCTTGAGCCTATTATGACCTGCCCTGCATGATCAAGAACAGATTCTGCTTCTTCTTTGTATGACTACCTTTCAAGTATTGGAAGAGTGATGTCCTATCTCCCCTCAATCTTCTTTTTCCAAGGCTCCTCATGCCCAGTTCTTTCAGCCTTTCCTCCTAGGGCTTGGTTTCCAGTCCCCTGAACATGATCCAGAACAGATTCTGCTTCTTCTCTGAATAGAGGAGGAAGTGTGCCTTAAGGGAGACTGTACTTCTGTTCTTCTTTGTATGACTACCTTTCAAGTATTGGAAGAGTGATGTCCTATCTCCCCTCAATCTTCTTTTTCCAAGGCTCCTCATGCCCAGTTCTTTCAGCCTTTCCTCCTAGGGCTTGGTTTCCAGTCCCCTGAACATCCTTGTTGCCCTCCTCTGAACTTGCCCCAATTTGCTGGCTTCCTTCTTAAACTATGTTATCCAGAACTGGACACGGAACAGAAGATGAGGGCTAACTAGTGCTGAATAGAGGGGGTGTGTGTGCCTTAAGGGAGACTGTACTTCTGTTAATGCATCCTAAAACTGCCTTTCCCTTTTTTGCAACTCAGTTGGGGGAGCGGCTTCAGTACATTGGACAGGCCCTGTAGAGTTGGGACTGAAACATTCGTGTGATGCAGGATTGAGGAAAGATCTTCCTGGGAGCAACAGACATCTTTCATGACTTAAAGGAGCACCGTGTCGAAATACATGATAAGCATACTGTAGAGTTTAACCCAAACATTTTTTTTTAAAAAATCATTGGTCATCGTTCTCCAGCACCCTCCTTTTCTTAGATTAACAGAAAATACTATTTGCCCTTGTTCACGGTGGAAGCATGAGGTGACACATCGGGGGATGAGTTGTTTTGGCTCCCAAGGAAAGTGTCTCTTACATTAGACAAAACCAACCATCTGGATTTTGTAACAGACCCCCTTGCATATTGCTGATACGCAGTGGCTGCCTGTCTTCTTCAGAGTGCATGCGCAGGTCATCAGATCAGCATGGTTAATGAAGAACATGCGCTGGGAATGTTCTGGAAAGGGCCAAGGCATTTATTTCGGGAGTCATCACTCTGCTGTAGCTCTTAAAAAAAAAAGACAAGAAATCAGCTCATCAGCGCTTGAGTCTAACTCTTATCTTGAATCTGGCCCTGACATGGTGGTGGTGGACAGACCCCCTTGCATATTGCTGATACGCGGTGGCTGCCTGTCTTCTTAAGAGTGCATGCGCAGGTCATCAGATCAGCATGGTTAATGAAGAACATGCGCTGGGAATGTTCTGGAAAGGGCCAAGGCATTTATTTCGGGAGTCATCACTCTGCTGTAGCTCTTTAAAAAAAACGACAAGAAATCAGCTCATCAGCCGTGCGCTTGAGTCTAACTCTTATCTTGAATCTGGCCCTGACATGGTGGTGGTGGTGAATGCTTTAGCCAACTGCATTGCAGTGTAGCTATATTTTGATTTCCTGTTTCAATCTGCTGGCCTCCAATTTGATGCCAGTCCGTTAGGTCCAAAGGAGCATAGAAGGCTGCCCCACACTGACCCACACCCTCCGAGCCAGTCCTGTGGACATTGACTGGCAAGA